TATGTATGTATGTATGTATGTATGTATGTATGTATGTGTGTATGTATGTATGTATGTATGTATGTGTGTGTATGTATGTGTGTGTGTATGTGTATGTATGTATGTATGTATGTGTGTGTGTGTGTGACGTCGAGGATGATTATAACATGAAAAGTTATGACCAACGACTAATTTCGAAATATTTGGTATTATGTTATGATTCGATAACTTTCAAGTTGTAACCAAAGGGTCTTCGGCCTAGCGGTATCGTAGTCTTTGGCCTCCTAGGAGGTCAAGGGTTCAAACCTCACCAACGATGAAGAGGGTATGTGAGTTTATTTGTTGCATTTATTGTATATAAATATTATATACTTAAAAAAAAAACCTTTCAAGTTATATTTAATGATATTATTGGTGGTGGTTGTTGAATGACTTTAGGTGGGGGGATGTCAAACCCCCATGCTCCCATCTTTGCATCACTATAACTTATGTCCTAGATCTCAAATCCAACTTTTTTTTAAGGATTTGATTGTTTCTATATCAGTCTTTTATGTCTGATTTATTAAGAGATACAATTATTCAGATTATTAATTTTTTTTAATTTTTCAGAGACATTTATGTCTTATTCACCTCTTATTTGATAAGAGGTAAACCTCAACCTCTTATTGTTCTCCAAATCTTAGCAACGGCGGATCTCGATCGATTAAACTTAATCGATCATTTTTTTTTTAATTTGATCCTTACTAAATTGATCTTCACCTGTCTCAGTTGATGTATTTTAATATGACTTAAATATGTTAAATACCGTTAATGGCATATATTTCTTTTAAATGAATGTTAATTATATAATTTAGATATAAATTTCGATGATGAATATATGTTATAGTCATGATCAACCGGTTTGTATAATAAATGATCAAAATTATGCACAATGTATGTAAAATTTCATCGAATTAATGCACCTAAAAAATGTATATTCACCAACTCGGTAACAACTCCTGAGTTCACTCGGTTACGAGAAAGGTAAGTAGATTAATCAAATGTTTATTATTTAGATTGGTAATTGATAGCGTATGATCATAATGGAACATACACCTTCATTTTATGAGAACGCAGGAACACCATTTTACTATAGACAATCACATGTGATACTATTATTCCATCATATGTGATACTAAATCAGAGACGTGAGCGATTTTCTATGCGATATTGGTTGTGGGTTAAGTCGCCCTTACACCACTAAGCCCCCTCCCAAGTATTGTCACATGTGATAAGGGTGTTGTTGATATGATACTATAATTTATCAAGACCATCACATGTGATGCTAAATTATAGACACAGACAACCTTTGGCGCGGCATAAGTCATAGAACACGTCGTCTTCACATCACAAGGTCCTCTCATGCGTATTATCACACGTGATAAGGGTATTCTTACGTTTTCACAAAATGATATATATATATATATATATATATATATATATATATATACACACATATGTGTGTGTGTGTGTCCCCGTCCTATATTATACCAACATTTATGGTTTTTCTATCCTTTTCTTGATTCATGTTCATTTCGTTCATTAAATTTATTAGATGGAGGCCCAATTTTCAACTCTTTTAATACGTGAGCATTGTCTTTACTCTTTTATTAATACATATATCTCCATGATAATATGGTTTTCGGTTTTTGCTGACCTTTTTATATTTAGTAAATGTATGTATTCTATCAGAACTCATTCGAGATATATATAAATCCAATCAAATAAATCCAGTCAATTATACAAGAATATGGTCTACAAAGAGTAAAAATGTATGAAAACAATTCATCTGCCTCAAGAGATAAAGATTTTTTTAAGAAAACTTTCGGTTATTATTATTATTATTATATACTAGAAGTGTACTTGCACAATGCAATTGGATTTTGAAATCTAGAAATACTGATAAAGTATTTTGTTTGAGGGTAAAAGATTGTTTAGTTTATATGATAATTGTATTTAAGATATTGTATATTTAAATATAAAGAGATAATATCTGAGGCGTTTTATTTCGGATATTGTTGTGTTTATCGGTTAGTTATATGAAGAGTTACAAATTTTTAGATATATTTATTATTTATTTATGTTTATTTGTAGTTAGTTACAAAAATTCAAATGTTGAGTTTTAATAAGTGATACTTATGCTTAATAACCTGTAATATTGAATTTTAAGTAATATGCATTAATGACTAATACTTAATGTATAAAAAGTAGTTTTTAAAAATTTAGGGACCGTTTACCTAAACACTTACCCGGTAAGCACTTACCGGTAAAATTCAACACTATCGCTTACTTACCGAGTAAGACTTTTTTCACTAAAACGCATCGTATGCAACAATTTATCCCTGTAAGCGCTAACCATGGTAAGAGTTCTCGTCCTCACTTACCGGGTATTCTTGTTTTCGTTCTTAGCGGGTAAGATTTTTAGTCCTTGCCATATTCATCCGTTAAAGTAAAGTGACTTAGTAAGTGCTTATCCGGGTAAGCGTTTGGTAAACGGCACCTTAGTCTAAATGTTTTATAATATAGTATAGATAGAGGTTGGATTCAAACGAGAAGATGATTAAAATAAGAATATATACTATAACATCTATATCACATGTGATTTTAGTGTAAATCACATGTGATATATGAGTTTTCGTGTTTTGGCAGAAGCATCAAACGAGAACACGGCCAATATAAGAGAATAAGAAAAACTGGCAAATGTGAGTTACATGTGATTTTACATGTCATTACAGAATAAAGTCAATGCAAGGATATGAGCGGGGAACCTGGCCCATGACCGTAGATCGTGTGAATCACATGTGATTAGACCGTTCTTATGTTCTCTAATTTAATTAATGTTCTTGTATGAACCTGACTATATATATATATAGAGAGAGAGAGAGAGAGAGAGAGAAGAACTTCTGTTAACCAAAAATATGGTGTTAACTTTATAAACTTATTGGACCAATAAGATTAATTATTTAGTATATGTTATTTCAAATGTTTGATTTAATGATGAAGAACAAATAATTAATTTTGATGTGTACGTTACTTTTATGGTATTTAACGATGTTCATAAATGTTTATAACCTTGAGTTCATAACTATAAGATATTCATAAGAATGTGCTCATAGATGTTCATAAGAATGTGTTCATGATCATAAGACGTTCATAAGATTGTGTTCATATGTGTTCAATAAGATTTTTCATAGGTGTTCATATGTCATTATCTTTTCACAAATACCATGTTCTAAAATGTTCACCAATATGTATTTTTATTCAAATTTTCATTTATTACAAATATGTCATCATTTAATCCATAAAAACATTGGGTTAACAAAAGAACTAATCCTTATATTATATATATGTGTGTGTGTGTGTGAGAGAGAGAGAGAGAGAGAGAGAGTTATTATGCAACCATTTACATTTGTACAACCAATACAACTCAATCTCAACCATCCATTTAATTTAATGAATATGTGATTTCATAAAAGTTACGATTAATTTTTAATATAAAGTAATGATCATAATTAATGAACTATGGTCATCTTCCATAAATATTCAAATTATAGTAAATGAACTTTTATCATTTCCATAAATATTTCAATTAATCGGGTTGTATTGGTTGTATAAATGAAATTGGTTGAATTTGAAACATATCCTCTCTCTCTCTCTCTCTCTATATATATATATATATATATAGAGAGAGAGAGAGAGAGAGAAAGAAATAAGAGCATTCAAATAAAAATCACTCAATTTGTATAAGCCGTGAAAACACATTCAACCGATTATAATTTTTTATTTTGTTCATTTTTTTGTAATTATGAGAGGTTGATTAACCATTTTTATTATGGTGGGTGTTAATCATGGATATTATTATCTTCATTATTTTAATTTTAGAGAAATACATGAAACAGTTTCATTAAAATTTCATTAAGTATTATATGAAACAATTTCATAACCATATATGAAACAAATTCATCAAAAAAAAAGTATTATATGAAATAATTTTACAAGATTAAACAATTTCATGAAAATTTTTCATAAGATTAAACAATGAAATCGACGTATAAGGGTGGTTTGTACAGTTTGTACAAATGAGGGTGATTTTCATTTGATCGCTCATATATATATATATATATGCAAATAATTAATCGACGTATAAGGGCGGTTTGTACAAATGAGTGTGATTTTCATTTGATCGCTTATATATATTTATATATATATATATATATATATATGCACATAATTAATTAAAAGGTTTGATTACATAAAGGAGTGAAAGTGATGTTAGGATTGTAATTAGTTAAGTTGTCACTACATCGTTACCAAACGGCTCCGACCCAACCACCATTCCTCCCTCTTCATCCACCTCTTCTTTTTCTATTTCATTTTCATTTTCCCCTTTTTATAAACAATTACACCTAAATTCATCACCATTTTCTAATATACCTACCCAAACCAACCATAAAACATAAACTTTAAAATATACAGAATCCAAATACAGAAAAAAACCCAGATCAAAAAAGTGGAAGATCAATGACAAAAAACAGATATAAATAGCAGCTAATGATAGGGTGGCAGAGCACAGCAATGACATTGGATGTAAGAGGTTTTAATGACATTATACTGTGAGAACTGTAATACTGATTTAAGTTTTTTTTTTTTTTACTTTAAAACATTTTTAATTGATTATTTATTGGGTTTTTTAGAAAAGTCAAACATATTGAGGTGCCCAAATGCAGATACCATCTCATTGTCATTTATTGGTGCCATTTTATTGTCGATCACCCTTTTCTTTTCCTCATGCTTTAATTGTGTTTTTTTTTTTTTATTGTTAATAAATAATAAATAAATATAATTAATTTTCAGGTTTTCTTAATTTTCTTTTTTTTTTCTTTTTTTAAGTTATATTTAATTATTTGGGTTCTATTATTCCTTCTTTAAAATCACTCTTCCCTCCGGCTCCTATCAACCCTTTCATGTCAATCACACAAAATATGAAGAACAACATCAACAATGGCAACACAAAGCTCATCCTTCTCCATCCCTACATTCAAAAACAAGCCAACCCGAACCGCCTTTGGTTCATCGCTCTTATCTCCGTTTTCACGCTCGCCTCCCTTCTAACGCTCGTTTACACCCGTGAATCGTTCTATGCAACCACCACCACCACCACTACCACCACCCGCCTCGCCTCCACCACCAACCACCACCACCACACGCTGCCCAAAAACGTGATGAAAGCTCTCGTTCATTATGCCGCTCAAACCAACTCCACCGATCACATGTCGTTCACCGACATCAAACAAATCTCTGATGTCCTCTCACAATGCAATTCACCTTGTAACTTTCTCGTATTCGGACTCACGCCAGAAACCCTCCTTTGGAATGCACTCAACCATTACGGAGGCCGGACGGTTTTCATCGACGAGAACCGCTACTATGCTGCCTACATCGAGGAAAAACACCCGGAAATCGAAGCATATGACGTCCAATACACCACCAAGATCAGCGAGCTTAAAGAGCTAGTGAATTCCGTTAGAGAAGAAACTCGTAACGAGTGCCGGCCAGTCCAAAACCTTTTGTTTTCCGATTGTAAAATTGGATTAAATGATCTCCCAAACCAATTATATGAACTAGATTGGGATGTGATTCTGGTGGATGGGCCACGTGGGTATTGGCCGGAGGGACCAGGGAGCATATCGGCGATCTTCACCGCCGGCGTGTTGGCGAGGAGCAAAAAGGGTGGGAATAATAAAACACATGTGTTTGTTCATGATTATAATAGGGAAGTGGAGAGGGTGTCCAGTGAAGAGTTTTTGTGTAAAGAGAATTTGGTGAAGTCTTCTAAGGATTTGTTGGCTCATTTTGTGGTGGAGAGAGTGGTGGAGGAGAGTGGCAACCACCAGTTTTGCCGCAACCATCCGCCGACGTCCTCCTAGGCCGACCACCGTCCACCGTCCACCGCCGCGTCACTGCCGCATATGTTTACAACATAGTTGTGCTTGAGATAAAGAGGTGTAAAAGTTGGTCAAAATTGTGTCATATTTGTTTGCAAGTAGTACATAATACATGGAACCAATGGTTCAGTCGTAAAGTTCCCCAAAAAATGAGGTGGGACCCTTTTCCTCTGCTTAATCAAGAACTTTTTTGGTGTACCAATTGAACTACCATCCTAAATTTTAAATTAGCAAAGATATCGAATTTGAAATGTATCGACAACAAAACTACAACAAGCACCTTGTCCCCGGCTCGAGATTGAAAATCGACTCGATTTGGTAGCGTAACGTGCTTTAATCTCAAAGATGTTTTCAACAATATAACATCAGACAAATCAAATCAAACTAGTCCGATATATCTCATATGGAGGTGGGGTTCCGGTCCTGGTGGTAGGGATGCCCGCAGACCTGGCTTTTACTCCAAAAGTAGAGCTAATGTTTTCGTAAAGAGCCCCGGGTTCAAAAAACCGTAACCATCGCAGATGATTCGCTAAAGTCAATTGACTGTATTAATTATGAGTGCATTGAGCTCGAGCTAGACCTCCGTTTGCAGATCTGCTTTTGAAGAAGTGTTCTTGACATAAAGAGGCCTAGAAACACCGAGTTCTCTAAGACGATCGACCATGCCATAAAGGAACTCGAAGCTGAGTATGGATTGTGCGTTAAAATCATCTCGTACATGTGGATGAATCCGAAACCACTCGCCTAACATCTTGTGAACATGAGCGCGAATCATTCTCCATGGCACCGGATATTTTTCGCACAGCTTCAAATATTCGACAACTAAACCCGCTTGATCCAATTTGCTGTCTTGATTCCCGTCTTCACCGTCAGATACCCATTCGATGGTTCTAAATCCAGCAAACAGAGCCGGATTTTCGAGAAGGGTCTCAGCGGAAAGTACACCATCGGCACCGGTCTCTTCCAAGCAATTTTTCACATCGTCCATGTGACGAATGTTTCCGTTTGCAAGGACTGGAATTCGAAGAGTGTTTTTTACAGCCCGTATTGCTTTCCAATCTGCTCGGATTTTTTTCCCATCTTTTTCATCTCTTGTGCGTCCATGTACTGCAAGAAGAGCGCAACCGGCATCTTCTAACATTTTTGCGTAGTTTAAAGTGTCTTGCAAGTCTGGGAAGACTCGGATTTTGCAAGACACGGGAACGTTGAGGTTAAGAGCTAATTTTTCGACCAAGGACTTCACGAGAGGCAGTTTATCCATTAGGAAAGCTCCGTAGTTTCCTCGCTTGGCAATACGCTGTGGGCATCTGCAGACATATAATAAACTAAGGTTTGTGCAAGTTTGTGAACAAATAAAGGAGGACAAATGCATCAAAATACAACAAAGTTTGGTTCAGTTCCTATAAATTGGAATTGTGTAGGAACATCTTTTTCATGGAACCGTAGGAAACTGTAACGAGAAACCTTAGCTTTCCTCACATACGTTAAAATGTTTAACATAGCTTAACATGAAATGTTAGCACATGTGAAATGCTAACTTATGTGAACCTCTCGAAACAAAGTGGTCCCTAGGGTTGCCAAAAGAAATTGAGTTCTTACGGAACCCCACCCTAGTTCCTATTTAGTGTAATGAAGAATTTATTCTATCAATTGATGGAAGAAAGTTTCAGATTTTCTTACTTTGTACCCATTTTGACCTGTAACATTTGATGGCATGGATACCCATTTACGAAAAGGTTATGAATTGTTTACAAAAGGTTTATGGCAAAGTAGACGATAAACTTGACATTGGTCATTAAATGTTACAACATCATCATGTCATCGGTCAATCGTGGATGTGATGTAAAGCCAACTGACAAAAAGACGCAACAAAGGTGTGCCAACCATGAGCCAAGACCAGACCGTTGTAAGAACTTGGCACAAATGTCCTAATCAAGGATGTTATGGCTAATCAAGAAAGCATTTCATGAGAAACACATTGGCCAAGAAAGTTGCGAGCCTCAATCAAGAGTCACGACTATATTTAATTATTCAATGAAATCTCTTAAGAAAACGCACTATGGTTCAAATTGAAACTTCCTTTCATTATTTGCCGACAAAGTCTCAAGAAAGAAGTCCAACTTGTAAGTAAAAAGTGCATGGCAAAAACCAAGTACTGGGTCCAGGCTCCAGACACTTGCTACCAAGTGTCAGCACATGTCTACACAACTGCTGACAAACACAAACCACAAGGACCCATTTTGTATAAGAATCACTTTAGAAACCCAATCCATTAAAATCACTAAAGCACAGGGATAAGAAATGTAATTCTCTCTAAAAATATTTGTCAGCCATTTGCCACGAAAAAGATGGAGCCTTTTCTTGTGAAATTAAGCATACCAAGACCAGCTGATGCTCCTCCATCCTAATAGAGAATGTAGCCTTAGAAGTTAGAATGTGACAGTTTGTGCTCTCTGTCCCTTATTTCACAGAAAATGGAGAGGCRAATTGATGTACTTATTGGATCTGGATCCAGTGAAAGTGGAAATCCAACAAGTCTTCCTTCTTTGGAGTTAGACTAAGCTTTATGATTAAAGGTAGATCTTGAACTTGTGCATCAACCTTGTTGTGGCTGTTAAAAATTAAAAGGCATCCTGTTCTCCGTATCCCAGGAAGTTGACTACTATTGATTTTGACGAAGATCCCCAACAATAATGGCATCAAATAGCCGTCCCATGCTTTTACTCATTATATGAGCATAATGTCAATATCTGATATCTGAAGTAATTAACAAGCGTAATTGAATTGTTGAAAAAACATAGAAAGCACAAGGAAATTAAGATACCCATTAACCAATTTACTCTTTTGAACTTGGAAAAAATAAGAACAATTGGTTAACAATTCTTGAGTAGTGGAGTCTGATTGCCTGACGTTTGTTTGGCACAAAAGCTTGCAGGAATAGAAAGGGGCAGTGCCCCTGGAAAGAAATTATGTTTATGGCCCAGTTTGCAACTTTTCTGCCCATTCTCCTCATATATATACATCTCTTTACAATTGTAAAACCCTAAGCCAAAATTAATGAGGTTCCCTAATGGCACAGTAAATGTAGATCAATTCTTGACCGAACCATGTAAATCCCTGTGTCATTGTGCATTTTACTATCATAATTTCTGTGTGTTTGCTCGTGTGAATCTAGTCCGTTGAGTTTCCTACCAATAATACTCGAATATTCAATGCAAAAGATTAATCAAAGAGATGGGTTCGACAAATGTGAATGATCAAGGTATAGCTGTAGCTATGCTAAAATGAGAGACTAAAGCATCTACATAGAGTTAAACTATACTCGCTCTAGGGATACAATGGCCTTTAGAAGATATCCAATGAAGCAAATGAAATTCCACGAAAATTTGTTTGCCGAGACTTTTAAGACAATATAATATGCATATCGTTGTGTGTTTGCATGTGTATTCATATTCCAATTGGAAGTGTACTTTGAGATTTGTGCTGTGTAAAAGTTGGCAGTCCTTTCGAATTAAAGCAGATGCCATGCCTATGCAAGGAGGGTTTGTTGTTGTGGGAGAGAATATGTATGCGCTGGGGTAGACACGTGACATCTGGATGCAGATTAAGTAACTTGAAGATAGAGAAGAGAGGGCAAAGCTAATCTAAGCCACAAATAACAGTAGTAATGTGTAACATTCCTTTTGAAAGAAAAAATCATAAACTAGATCTAGATCTAGGTTTCATGCTTTATGACACATAGTGATTTACTTTAAATTACACAAGTAAATGTTCCCAGGAAAGGTTTATGATATATTTAGCTAGCAATCCCAACATAGTAAGTTATAAAATGAGTAATATCTGCGAAATTGAGTCCATCTGTTTCAGGACCTGAAACTATACTTAGTTTAGTACGATTCATCTGAAATTAATCATAAAGAATTAGCTCTTCAACCATACTCACTAAATTCAAATCTTATCTTACTAGACACACATTCAGACAACAGTTATATTCTATCCAGGTTGCTCATACAGCCATGAGCATGCATCTTTCCATCAGAGTCCTCCGGGAGTAGCCTTTTTTGCCACAACCAACCTCCATCCTAAATAAGTACCTCTGAAAAGCTAAAACAAAACCCTGCATGCATTTATCTTGGACTCATTCACTTAACAAATTTCACTCTTTCAATAGTTAAAATAACGAGTGTTGTCATCATAGAACGGAACCAGGGAACCCTTACAAAGTGCTCTCCTGGTCCCCTTTCATTTTTACTATAACACTGTATGCTTGGTATGTCATATCTTGTAACATCAGGTGTCTACATTGACGTGCATTGTTGGCTTCAATCTCATTCCCATTGATATATAAAATTAGCATTTGTCCTGCAAGGTATCCATCAGCCCAACTATGTTGTATGGATCGAAGTGTTGGGCGACAAGGAAAACCCGTGGGAAGAACTTGGAAGTTGCATAACTGAAAATGGTTAGACGGACTTGTGGTTGGACCATGTTGGATGCGATACCAATTGAAGCCTTTTAGATGAAGTTGGACTTGGGAGTTGCACCTATCACTGATAAGTTGACAGAGGGAAGACTGCACTGGTTTGGATACGTTCACACGAGAGGTGGTAGCCACAGTAAGAAGGGTGTAAAGCATGACTGTTGATGGGACGAGAAGAAGGGGCATGCCTAGGAGGATTTGGGTTGAGCAACTATGGATAGATATGACGGTATTAGATATTTCCGAAGACATGACTCTGATAGAAATGCTTGGCGACGCAGTACTAGGGTAGCAGACTAGGGGAACCTGTAGGCTGTAGGTAACTTGTGTGGAAGGAAGAAGCTGGCGAGATAGATGGGGGTAGAATTAGGGAGTTGAGAGATAGGTTATCAGAATCCTAAGATAATTTGGGTTGTGTGGTTTCCTTTGCTATTTTCTGTCTACTTGCATCTTGGTTTTTTGGTTTTGTTTTACCTAGCTTACTTCTTTTCATTCTTTGGCGTATTGTCCTTTCTGGCGTCATTTTCTTATATTTTCTTTTCCTTTTGCCCAGGTAGTCTTCATACTTCTGGTCTCTGGACAAATTTTTTTTCTTTCTCAAACACTTTGCACAAGCCGGTGGTCTTCACAGAAATAGCCACACTACTTCTTAGAGTAGAGGTAAAGTCTAAGTACATCCTACCCTCCCGAACCAAACCCCACCCCTGGGTGGAATACGGAGTTAGTTTGGTTTGGTTTATATTAGCATTTTTCAAAGTTCTCTAGGAAATAATGAGTCTGAATAAAAAAATGGATCTCAAAAAATCAAGTGCCAAAAGATCTTTTGTTAACAAAATCATGATAGTTTGATGTGTAGCTATAAGCCTTTTTGCAGCATCCACATGCATAAACGTGTCCTAACAAAGCAGAGCATAAAATCAAGCATAAGGTCAAGTTCTAGCTCACCTTCTTTTCCTTCCAATGGAATTCCATGCATATATTATACGTCCTACTGTTTTATTTGATGCTTTGTTGTTGTTGTTGCATTTGAAATTACAAGGTAATTTAGCAAAACAAGTACCCAAGTGCCTTGTGTTTTGTCTAAGGTTCCAACATTATAATATATGTTCTTAAGCACTTGTTAGTAAGTTATGTTACTATCATTTATTTTGGTACTCAAGGACCATAAATTGGTATATATTTCGAGTCTCAAAGGCCATGCATGTTATGCTCGAGTCATACAGATATAATCATACATGTAGATTGAAGATAAATAGAGAATATACAACGACCAAAATGAACTGCTACTGTTTTCCAGAATCAACATTTTTGGCATTGAGCCTAATGTAAACCAATACGTAAGAACTTTTCTTGTAGAGAAGGTTCAATTTTGATATGAAACTTAAAGAGAAGTTCTAAAAGCTTACCCCAAATTAATGTCAACGTAATCGCAATAAGGCTCCACCCTGCGTGCTGCCTCCAGTAAAGTGTCTGGATCATTCGCACAAAATTGAACAAATAATGGCCGATCTTCCTGCAAATTTAAGAGAAATAGGAGTTACTATAGTACATAACAGTCGCTCAATTCCATAGAATTGCAGTTGCAGTCAATTACTAGTAACGAACAAGCTGAGCTCTGCGTATTTGCATAGCGTCGTTACCTTGCAGGTAGTGAACTCCTGAGAGCGATACTTCTCGTTCTCAGTGAAGATACGAGAGTGTAGCATAGGGGTGTAAGCAGCTTCAGCACCGTACTTCCGACATAGTAATCGGAAAGGAAGCTCCGAATTATCGACCATCGGTGCTACAATTAGTTTAGGCTCACCGAGTTTCTTCCAATGTGCCCACGCTCCCTCGATTCTAGCATCGCCTGTCAAGTAGCCATTCCTGCCCAACGATGAGGATTCGTAATTTACTACTGATTCTGGATACGCATCTACCGTTTCAGAACATATGTCATCTTCGGCGTCGACGGTCGGAGATTCTGTGTTGTGCGGGCAAGTTGCTAGGGTTTGAGTAACGGAATCAAACGCCATGAATGGATTGTTAATTGATAATAGTAATGATGACGGCGGCCAGTAGTTGCGTTTGGTTGACGGTTGGAATCTCCGGCTCCGGCGACGATGAAGAAAGCAACGCCGTCCAGGATCCGGTAGGTGTCTTTGGTGTGTGCAACTGTACCTGTGAAATCGGGTGGACCGGACTGTGGGTTGGATAAATCATTCAAATTGGGGGGATTTTGTCATTAAAAAAAGCAAACAAAATCCGATAATCAATTTTATAGCACTTTTAAGTGTTCCTTTAAATTTATTTTAATTTAATTTCTATTTTAAGTAACGTATTTCTAAAACTTTCATTTTAGTACGAAGATGTAAAGTTTAAATATTTAAGTATCCAGATAATTGATTGAAATATTAACCGGTTACAACGCTGATGTGACGAGTGATGTGGTATCCAACTCAGTATTATTTGTTGACATATATATCTTAATCTAACCGGTTAATGTTTCAACTAGTTACCTTGGTACTTAAATGTTTAAAACTTTACATCTTATGTATCAAATTGAAAGTTTTGAAAGTACGTTACCCAAAATAGAAATCAAGTTAAATTATGTTACTTGTTCATATAATTTGCCCTTATTTTCTTTTCATCATAATCTAAATTAATTTTGTAAAACACTACAAATTGATATATATATATATATATACACACACACACACGTTGATAGAAAACCACCGAAAACGAATCCAATTCCAATTCCACACCGAAGACAAAAGCCTTTCCTCTAAGCAAACGGATCCAGTTCCAATTCCACACCCAAGCCCTGTTGTTCCAAGACCCACGATCAAAAACCTTAGAGTCCTTATTGCCATCCGCCTGAAAAAGCCTACGGAATCTATCACAAAGAATAAAATTACCCACTCATTTAACTAACCGAAAAGTAGACTCTCTACCTTCCCCAATGTTTTTACCAAAAGAGGACTCAAAACACCTAAACCATCAATATTCTTCCGTGCTTTCAAAATTCCACCCCAAGCGGAACCAATTTTGTCGTGTCTAGCCCTATAACAGTTTACACCACCTTCCCTCTCGTATAAACATCTAATAACCCGAACCCAGAAAGAGTTTTCTTCTACGAAAAAACCTCCACCACCATTTGCCTTGAAGGCTCGAGTTTTGAGTCTTGAGAGTACCTATATTAAGCCCTCCCCTCTCGAAATCTTTGACAACATTAACCCACTTTACCCACGCCAATTTAGAACTGGTCCATCCCCCCCCAACCCAAAAGAAGTTATTCCTTACCCTCTCTAGAGATTGCAACACACTAGTCGGGGAACGTAAAGAGAAATATTATAGAGATAAGCTTCTCAACACCGATTTACCGAGGTCATACGATTGGGGTCCAATTAGCGAGTTCATTTTGAAACTTTCCAACGATTGGGGTCCAATTAGTTGTCTTGCTCATGTTAACTCCGATTGGAAGCCCTAGATAAGATCAAGAAAAGACTCCAGTACGACAACATAAGATAGACGCCAAATTTTCCACTTCGTTATCAGAAACACCTACACTAAATAATTTACTTCTGTCAAGATTAAGCTTTAACTTCGAGGAGAGCTCGAAACACTTGAGAATATATTTGAAATTCAAGGTGTCAGAAATGCTCCAGTTCCCAAAGAAAATGATGCTATTCACGTGTTGGAAATGAGAAATCGAAACCATACTTGCGTTGGAACCTAACGACACGTTATGGTAAAGGTTCCTGCTAATAGCCTCAAGCATTGCAATGTTGAGGCCCTCCGTCACAGTAAAGGATAAGAAATGTGAAAGAGGATCTCCTTCTGTCACACGACACTTTAATTTAAATTATTTGGTTGGGTACCCATTGACTAAAATTGAAACCGACACAAAACTCAAAAAGAAGAGAATCTACGTACACCATTTTTTTCCCCAAATCCCATTTGCTTCATAATGTCCAGAATGTAGTTCCAATTAACACTATCGAACGTCTTTTAAAATCCGATCTTCCTCAACAAACACTTTGTCCTGGTTTTCTTGATTTGATCAATTAACTCGATTGCGATGAGGACACCGTCTAGAATGGATCTTCCGCTTATAAACACACCTGTTCCGCCCCTATTAGCTTCACGATAATTTTTCTCAATCTGCCCGCTAACAATTTTATAACCGCATCCAGTTAAACTTATAGGTCTGTAATCAACACTGCCAATTGGATATTTGCATTTTGGAACCAAAGTGATGAAAGAAGCATTGCAACCTCTATTTCTTCTACCTTTGGCCCAAAACCGACAAATTGCACAAGAAACATTCTCTTTGATAATATGTCAAGAGAAATTGAAGAAACGAAAACTAAAACCATCAGGTCCCGAGCCTTAGAGCTCCCACAAATTCGAAACAACAGCCCAACTTTCAGAGTCCGTGATTTTTTATTCCAACCAGCTAGCTTCTTTTTCTTGAAACGGTGAAACAATTTGAAAACTCCATATATTATGATAACCGTGAGAATTATTATCGTAAGGTATTATTTTATATGAATTTTTCCATCTAAGACGGTGATTTAATATATTGATTAACATATATTTGTTTCATAACGTTCTGTTTCATATGAATTCGGTTCACAATATGGAAAAAATGTAGTTGTAACATTTTGCTCACAAACACACAAAAATATTTACATTACAAAACAAATATATGATAATCAATACATTAAATTCAAATCATAGATGAAAAAGATCATGTGGAATAGCACACGTTACACTAGTTTTCAAATTTATCATAATTTTATGGGTTCTGAAATAAAAATTCCCCTGTACAAAATACTGACCCAACAGAATATCATGCCTTTTCGGATTAGTCATTTTATTTTATAATATAAAGATTTCTAGAAATAAAGTTCGGTGTGATGATTTACATTACCCTATATGGGTTATCAATAGAGTCGACCTTATTGGTGGTCAAAAGTTCTGAGCTCGCTTAATATAAGGTTTGTATGTCAAAATCTCTCGTGTATAAATATCATATACTTTTTTATATATTGAATCAGTAAAAAGTCAATTCCAAATCTTATCCGAAAAGCTCAATCAAAGTTTTATCAATTTTACGAATCTTATTTTGCATTACGCAACGTCTCTAAGCACATGTACAAACTACCCAAAATCGCATAATTAAACCTCAACGAACGACCGAACATGATACTTGAAGCAATAAATAACTGACATGTGAACGTTTGCTCAAAAAAGACGACTTCCATTTATAAACAAAGTGTTTTTCTATGTAATGATAATTATCCTAAATACTTCTTGTATCAATAAGATGTCAGTTCATCTTACATAATATTTCAGAAGAAAAATGAATACACTGTTAATTTTATATGTTCAAAAAATGACATCGTTCTCTGGAAAAAGTTGTATTAAAAACGTTTTATTAATAACTGTTGACACCCAGATGAATCAGATTAATGATATTGAACTGTTATTACATATAATATGTTCAATATAAAAACAATTGAGGGCTTCTATGGATATCCTTTCTATTACTTCTTAAGGGTTGTTTGTTTACATTTTAATAGTTTTATTAAGAGACAGCATCTGAATCGCTAAAAGGTGAATCTTGTTTGACAAAAAAAAAAATTGTCTCTTAATGGTTTTAAAATCCCCTGAATGATTTTGTATCTTGTGTCTCTCTTAAGCATTCAGCACCCTAATATCATTATGAATAATTACCAAACAATTATATTTCATTTTGCATTATATTATAAGAGTTCCTTAATCATTTTGTACCAAACTATTTAGCAACTGCCAAAAAACCTCTTACTCCCTCCTATTCTTAGACATCTCTTACATACTCGTTACTTTTTTATTTTCCCTTTTTCACCATTATCATATTAATATACATAAACTTATATTAATTAAAGTACATTTGAGTAAAACATTTTTTTTATAAATTACGTTATTAGAATAGTCTTGTCAATACCTATAAAATAAAATCAATATTGAATATTTTTAAAAATTAATTATATTATTAGATATCATAAATATATATATTTTTTTTATAAAATTTAAATCTTACACTTTAATACGAGTCTAATAATTTTTTTATTTATAAAATAATGAATTAACTACTTTTTTTTATATTAATGCACTTTTAATAAAATAGTTATGATAAAGAATTTTTTTAATGATAAGATACCATAAAATTTATGTTATTAAAAAATACGAATTTCACTAAAATACTTAAATAACGTGTTTCACGATATCGTAATGTATTGAATTCAATTGGTCTCGTATAAATAAAAAGTATATATTTTAGTTAATAACTTATTAATTAGTAAATGGTCGTTTACCTAAATGCTTACCCGGTAAGCGTTTACTGTTAAGAGTCAACACTGTAATTTATTTTACCGTGCAAGATTGTAGTATATCAAAATGGTATCGTATGCAACAATTTACCCGGTAAGCGCTTATCCGGGTAAGAGTCGTCACTCTTACTTACCGAGTAAGATTCTTTATCTTTATCATTGCACTTACCGGATAAGATTTTTGACCTTTGTTATATTCATCCAGTAAGAAAAATTACAGTTAGCACTTACCGGGTAAGTGTTTAGTAAACGGCACCTAAATATGAATGGAGTAACAAATAGAAAATAGAAAAGGAATAATAGATAAATATTAAAAGGGTTAAAAATAATAAATTAAAAAAGTTTAAGGGTCAAAACAGAAAATATGAAAAATAAAATGTATTGTTTTTAGTGTTTTTTTTTTTCTAGTGTAGGGGATATAAAATTTGCCTTTTCAAATACAATAATAAAAAAACGTTTGAATTACATGTGATTTTTACATTGGAATCATGCATAAAATTATATCTGATTCACACGACTTTGATCATAACATAATGTTGTGGGTTATGTCACCTGCATACTCTTGTGTTGACTGTTAATATAAAATCATATGTACATTTATACATAATTTAATCGTTTTAGTATTCTTTTATTTGATTATTATTCTCGTTTGAACTTCTATTTATCTATACTATATTATAAAGCATTTGATAAAAACTCTTAAAAATCATCTTTTATCCATTAAGCAGTAGTTTATTGATGTATGTTACTTAAAATTCAAGATTACAGGTAAATGGTGCATAAGTAAAATTTATTAAGCTCCATATTTGAATTCGTGTAACTAACTGTAGATAAAATATAATCAAATACATGATAAAATTCTCATTCTAAATACATCTAAAACATAATTAGAATAATTATTGAGTTATAACAGAATACTTAATTATTATCTTTATAAAAATTATATTATTAACCAAAAACAAATTATTTCGTCACTTAACCTAAATTAAATCATAATGGGAAAAAATAAATTAAAGAAATTACACAAAAAAACGAGAATTTTTTTATTTTTTAATTTTTATAATATCTTCAAATTTATAATTTAAAAAAATATTATTACTTGCTCAAAACCACATAAATCTATATTTTAATATCGACAAAAAAAATAAAATAAAATATTAAAATCAAGATATATCTCATTATATTGCACAAGTACACTTCTAATATATAAAAACGAAATTTCTAAATGTTAGATATGTGATTTATATCATAAAAAGAACTGATGCTTTTTCTTTTGAATTTTGGTATTTAATTTTTCTAGTAGAATTAATTCAAATTTAATTGAGGAGGGTAAATTTGTAATTTTGTGAATGAATAAACATTTGAAAAAAGTGGTCCACCAGATATCAATTTCTCATCCACTAATTTTGACTTTTTAGGGTCTCCTTTTTGACCGGAGTTATTGATTTTCCATCCACATTCTCCTCCATGTTTTCGCAAAGTACAAACTTCAATTTCATCAGTTTCTGATTTTTGTCTACTTAAAACAGTTTTAGGATAACTAAAAAAATATTTATATAATACAATGAGATGCATTTTAATTTTAATATTTTATTTTATTTTATTGTTTGTTTATGTCGATATAATATAATTTTATATTGTATTGAAAAAACAATAACGTTTTTATTTTTGAATGAAATATAAATTTAATGAAATCATAAAACTTTGAAAAATATATTGATATTAGTATCAAATTGACTATTTAAAAATTCTCGTTTTTTGTATAACCTTTTAATTCAATTTTTTTATTATAATTTTTTTAATAATATATTTTTTTATGAATATCTATACTATATTATAAAGCATTTGACAAAAACTCTTAAAAACCACTTTTTATACGTAAAATACTGTTTATTAATGCATATTACTTAAAACTGAAGATTACAAGTAGATTATGCGTAAGTACAACTTAATAAAGCTCCATATTTGAAGTCGTGTAACTAACTGCGGATAAACATAATCAAATACAAGATAAATATATCATTTTAAATATAAAATATCTAAAATATAATTAAGATAATCATTGAGTTCTAACATAATACTTAATTATTATCTTTATAAAATGTTATATTATTAAATCAAAAATAAATTATTTCCTTATCAAACTTATATTAAATTATAATAATAAAAAATAAATCACAGAAATTATATAAAAAATGAAAATTTTAAATAGTTGATTTGATATTAACATCGATATTTTTTTTTTCAAATATATATTTTATTCAAAAATAAAATCATTAATGCTCTCTTAAAAACACATAAAATCGTATTATAACATCGACAAAGACAAATAATAAAATAGAACATTAAAATCTAGATGTGTGTCGCTGCATTGCGCGAGTACTCTTCTAGTAATAATTAATTATTCTGTTAAAAGTCAATAATTATCTTAATTATATTTTAAAAAATTTATATTTAAAATGAGATGTTTATCTTGTATTTGACTGTGTTTATCTACAATTAATTACACGAATTAAAAAATTGAGCTTTAGTAAGTTGTATTTATATGCAGTTTACTTGTAATCTTGAATTTTAAGTAATATGCATTAACTAACAGTACTTCATGCATAAAAAAAATGATTTTTAAGAGTTTTCGTCAAATGTTTTATAATATATTATAGATGATATATACATCCAATTTTATAGGGGTCCGTTAAATGTATTCTCTTATGTGTTAAATCATTTTCATCTATAAATTTGCTTATTACAGACATCAACATTAAGATATACGTTTTACATTCACAATGCATGAATTGACTTGATTCTGATACAAGATGAGGTGCAAATAACATTCCCTTTTTATATCTGAATCAAGTCAATCATGCGTTAAAAATATAAAAAATATGTCTTACTTTTTATGTTTGTGGTAGAAAAATAGTTGGTAGAAGTGCATTTTTGTACCCTTTTTTGGAATAGGTTAAATACACTTTTATATATATATCGATTATGAGTGAGAAGTGATATTTTACTTATTCCATCAATAATAGTACTTAACATTAAATGTCTAGCCGAAACAAATAATATTTTATTGAATATTTAAAATAATATAATTGATGTTATAATATCTCAATATTGAGAACGTTTTTTTTTTGGCGAACTTTGTTTTTTGACTATCCATTTTGAAGAAAAAAAAATCGAAGAATTTATTAGAGATTTTTTAAGGGGGTGTTTGGGATTGCTTATTTAAAGTGTTTATTAACGTATTCCAGTGTGGTGTCGGTAATAGAGTGTTTTTAGTGTTTTGATGGGAAAAAAAGTAAATACTTATACTGGTTTGATACAAGTAATAAGGAGTTTTTGATAAGTTACTTCATTCTAACTTATTAACTTATTCCGATATGATACCGATAATAAGGAGTTTTTAATGTTTGAATGGAAAAAAAAAAGTTATCTCATCTATTTTTCCAGTTTATCCGGTGTGGTACCGTCATAAGCTAATTCAAATCTTTTTTTTTTTAAACTTCAATTTGTCACTACATAAATTGATAAACATTTTTACAAAAAAAAAAAGAAAAAAATAACATAAATTGTTTTAAATAAGCAAATCCCAAACACTTCCTAAACGTACATTTGTCTACTAATTTTCTTCCAATACATCAATAATTCTGACATAAATACAGATATACACACACACACACACACACATATATATATAGAGAGAGAGAGAGAGGTGAGTTATTATACAACCTCTTACWTTTGTACAACCAATACAACTCAATCTCAACCGTTCATTTAATTTGATGAATATGTAATTTCATAAAAATTTTGATTGTTTACTAATATAAAGTATTGATCATAATTAATGAACCGTATTCATATTTCATAAATATTTAAATCATAATAAATGAATTTTCATTATTTACATAAATATTTCAATTTATTGAGTTGCATTGGTTGTACAAATGCGATTGGTTGCATTTGAAACAAACTCTCTCTCTCTCTCTCTATATATATATATATATGCCAAAAATCATATAATAAAAGAAGTTATGGTAAAAAGTCTAAAAAAAAATTTAAACTTTTGGTCACTTTTAATCTTATGTCCACCAATGAATTATATTTTAAAAGAGAAATTATATGATGCATCTCAATGTATCTTATTAATTTTGATATTCAATTATGATTAATTCCAAAAAGAAGAAGATATTTTCTTATATATAATTATAATTTAAATAAAAATAGTCAAATCGAAACGCACATGACACACACACCATCCACCTCCTTCCAAACTGCCAACCCCTCGTATTTTCGTCAACCACGACCTACTCATGTTTTTCTCCTCTAATTTATTATTTATTAATTATTGATTAATTTGGTATTCAAAATAATCTCTCCAAACCCAAAAAGTAAAGAGTTGATTGCAAATTAGAATCTAAAAATCCCAAAATTAAACCACAATCAATTGACTAAATTCCATATTATATCAACATATGGAAGACCAAAACAGTACCATTCATCATCATCTTCAAAAAAAAAATCAAATTAATTAATCAATAAGAACACAATAGAATCGAATAGAATTTTAAACCCAAGATATGGAATTTGATTCCAAAGTCTTGTACCCTTTAGATTTCCATGGGAATTGAAGCAAATTCAAAGTAATTACGATCTCCGATCTTTGTTTTTGAAGCTAATTAGGGGGAAAAAGAGAGTGATTTTTTGATGAAATTACGATGATTCTAAGATGAGCCCAGAAGTTTCTGCCACAGAAAGGGCGTGATTATGATCTCCTTCGTAGGTCACGATTAACATCGTTGGATCATCCAATGCTCTTTCTACGTGTTTACGAGCTGGGCATCCTCTTACGCTGCTGCACTTGTAATACCCTCTGTCAATTTTGGGCAAGAAATTCAATTAGCCCCATTTCAAAATTGATTAAAAATGCTGGTTTCATCTCTTAACCATTTCCGTAATTTGAAGAGATCAAAGCGTAAATTAGTGGACTAACACCTTCGGAACCTGTAACTTGCGCAGACAGACCGATATCTGTTTCACAGATTTGGTCTGCGGGTTTAGACCCTCCATAGATTACAGGATTGAAGCTTGTGTTGACATTTTGTTGAAACCAGAAGATACTATTTTAACTAGTTGAAGCTTTGAAATGGGAATTTACCTGGGATGTGGAGATCCTTTAATGGGTTTCTGGCCGTACTTTCTCCATGAGTAATCGTCCGGTGGAATATCGGCGAGTTTCATGCTGATTGCTTTAACCCTAATTACCCTCTTCATCCTCAGCTTTCTGTAATTTGGGAACGGTTTTGAAATTAATTTGAGCTGATGGGGAAATCGATATGGGTAGAAATGAAAATTAAATGGGAATTTGTTAAAAACAAATTTACCTTCTTTTGGAACAGTGACAACGGCCGGAAGAACCGCCGCTGCACTTGCCGGAGGCGCCATTATCCGATGAGCTACACTTTCGTTTCAAACAAGACGAAGAACATAAAGGAGGTTTACCACCGGCCGACAGCTGTTTGCTGTCGGAATCTCCGGTCAACGACGACATAAACGAGCTGGTTCTAGAAGCCGCATGAGAGTAGGAAAAACTAATCGTTTTAGGCAAAGAATCCTTCCTTTGAAACACCGCCGGTTGATTACTGGTAACCGGAGCCGGCGGCGGTGGCGGCGGAACAAAAGGTACCTGTTGTATAGGTGTTGGACAGTAAACCTTAGTCTCACCTTCCTCCGAAACGACCTCGTCTTGTTCGTGGTCTTTCATTATCTTCTGATCCTGAAAACGACCATTACTCACCGGAGCTCGTCGGAATCGGGCATGGCCAGTGAGTTCCCGACTAGGTCGACCCAACAGAGATATAACTCGTTTGAACTTAGTAACAGCAACGTCGGCGACGGCTTTATAATCGACCGGCGACTGTTGTTGTTGAGACTGCGATTGAGAAAGAAGACGGATAAGCTTTTGGACGCTTTCGAGGCCGGAAGCAGCTTCTTGGACGACGTTATTTTCGGCGGAGGCGGTGGTGGTTGTGAAACCCATGATGAGATCGACGGCCATGGCGATTTAGACCATCAAAAATGGTGGTTTTGTTTTAGTGATAATGGAAGCGGTCAAAATGAAGAGATGGGTGAGGTAAAATAGGCGAAGAGAAGGAGAAAAGTAAGCAGTGGGTGACTGACATGTCATTTTATCATTTCTGCTTAGTCAAAAGTAGGTATGAGTAAGATCCAACCACATAGTCCACCCCCCTTTTATTTTATTTTCACTTTTTCTCTCTATTTATTTTTTTAATTTATTTTTTAATTATTTACCAAAATTGAAATATCCAGTATTTATTTTACTTTACATTAAAAATAATTATTTATATTATTAAAAGTAATGTTGGTATTTAATTTAGTTTTTAATTATGAGATGAAAAAAGTTTACTGCTACGAGCATCTTCAGTAGTAGGTTTTTATTAGTAAAAAAATATAAATCCCATAAGAAATTACTTTTACGGAGATTTTATGAATCACTCACGGTTTTTTTTTAGTTTTTGTACAAGAATCTTGGTTTTACCTTAAAAACTGCGTGAAATATTATTTTATTGGTTTTTAATGATAATAAAGTAAATGGGACTCACGAAAAAAGGTCTTGTAAGAGTATCTCTGACATATTTTTTAAAATATAAAATGAGGGTTTATTGTTTAATTTGATCCGACAAATTCTCTATATTATTATCTGAATTAAAGTGAAAAAAACTCCAAATTTAGAGAATTTTCTAAAATTTAATGTGAGGAGAGAGAATATATTTTTTTATTCATTTTTACCAAAGAAATTGATTTACTATTATTTTATATAATGTTAATGATAAAATTACAGAACATTTTAATAATACAATTTTTTATATAATGTTAATGATAAAATTACAGAACATTTTAATATTACAATTAATGTTGAAATATTTAAAATAGAGAATTTATTAGAGATGAATATCATATTTTTAAAGATTTTAATTTTTGGTTCTCTATTTTAATTAAACTACTTCATGCTAAACAAACCTCATTACTGGTTCCATACTCATACATGTTAAGATCATAGTTATCTTTTTACATCCATCATGTTAAAACTGATAAAACCCAATATTTGAACAGATGAGATTGCAATATTGATTATAACAGGTAATCTAAAAAGAGAGCCCCTACGTAATAAATCTCATACGCTCTTTTACTGCCATTCAATATTTAACACGTGTTAAAATTATACTTTTTTTTTTATATCTTTGATGTTAAAACTGATAACAAAACAAGATCTGAAGGGATGAGATTGCAACATTGACCATAATAGGTAAACTAAAAGAAGGGTCCATCTCTAATAAGTCTTGTACAAACTTTCCTATCGATTCTATATTCATACATATTAACATCAGATTTCTCTTTTAGTTTCTATGTAGAAACTAATAAAAAACATATGTGCTAGGAGAAGATTTCAACATTGACCATAACAGGTAAACTTAAAAGAGGGTCCATCTGTAATAAATCTTGTTCAAAATTTCCTACGATTTAATATTTATACACGTTATAGTATACATACATACATACATACAAATATATATATATATATATAGAGAGAGAGAGAGAGAGACATACAGACTTGCGATCACTTGAGACCACTTTTTCCTGTGAATGTGACATTCACAGTGTTTTTACTGTGAATGTAACGTTCACTGTGTTTTTGCTGTGAATATTCGACTCATTTTACTTTCACGACGTTTTACTTGAAATTTTAAGTGTAAAAAAGTGGTCTCACATATATTATGAAAGCAAGATAAAAAATAGTGGATTTAGATTGCAATATTGATCATAATAAGTAAAGTAAAAGGGGTCCATGAGTAATAAATTATATAAAAAATAATTAATATTTAATGTAATAAATAATGAAAAATGTAAAAGAAAAGTGAAAGCAAAAGGTCAAAAAGGGGAAAGAAATAATTGAAGGGAGGCATATGGCGGAAGAAATACGGTGAGGCTAAATATATTTAATTGCTGAACCAACCTTTGACCTTTCTTTTCTTCTGTCGTGACTCTTCTAGTCAACCAACAATTTCTGGCCGTTGGATCACTTTCTCCATACAAGATGATTTTATTCTATGTTTTCATTTATTTTGTCTTATTAAATCAATAATTGTAATAATAATAATTATTAAATTTTAGGTAAAAAACTATAATAACAGTTAAAAGAAATAAAATAAAATTATTTTTTTTATTAACCTGGATATTTGGCCTGTTATATCAGTTGACTAATCTCAAGACAACCATTTGTTTTGCGAGTAGCACAGAGTCGTCACCGCATTTGAATTTTCGTAGCCACAAGAGGATTTTTATTCTTTCTTGGATTTGAACATAGGACTTCCAAACACTTTTGACATTTGGAGCCCAAACTCAAACCAATCATGCCACACCCTTGTGGTTAAAATAAAAATGTTGATACCATCTTCTAACAGGTATGTTATATATATATTTAAATATTTTTTCTTTTTTTAGAGAACAGTTTAGTATAACTATTGGATCAAACTTTTCATAAATCTTTAAATCTTTTAAAATAACATAGTTGTTGGAGATGATATGGATTATTAAAGAGTAACGATTAAGGTCCCGTTTGGTTTGCAGGAATGAAATGGATTTGGATTTCAAATTTATTATATCATATTTGGTTTGTTGGATTGTCCGGATTTAGAATCCTATGATTTAATTGAAATTCTACATTCATAGGATTTTGAAATTCTTAAAAGGCCTTTGGGATTTCATGAGATTTAAATGTTTAAAACAATGTTTAAAACATTTTTTTAAATAATGTTTAATTATTTATAAATAATGGAATCTAATTTCATTTCAAATTCTACAAACCAAACACATAAAGGATTTCGAATCCATTCCAATCCAAATTCCCATATGACCCTCAAAAAACAATCCTACAAATCAAACACATCCTAAGAGCATTTTCACCATTGGTTATGCTCTAATTTTTTTGTAATATCAAAATGTCTAAACACAATTACATTCAGCTCTAACATCTATTCTATTTTAGCAGTTTTAACATTAACTATATTAATAACATATTCAACACATTTAATAAATATTATTTCTTACCCTACACATTTAATTTCAATATTTTTTATTTGTGGAAAAAAAATTTAAAATATTATTTTTCAATATTTTATAATGTTTTAGATTTTTCTGAATTTAGAGATTTCCACCAAAAGGTTTGTAAATTTTATAAATTCTAAAAATTAAAAGAATAAAAAAATCTATTAAAATCATTATATTATGACGATCCAACAAACATGGTTAAAAAAGGATAGTTATAGGTATATATTTTAAAAAGATTACTTATTTGTTAAATAAAAAATTCACGAAATATAAACAAAATTAATGCAAGTAAATCAATACTTGTAACGTAAGTTTTATTGAGAAAAAAAATAAGAGTAAGAGATTGTTTGTTTATCTTTTAATAGTTTTGTTAAGATACAGTCTTTGAATCGTTAAGAGATGAATTTTGTTTAGCAAAAAAACGTCTCTTATTATTTCTAAAACAATCTGAATGATTTGGCATCGTAGGCCTCCTTAACCATTCAACACCCTAATTTCGTTGTAAATAATTACCGAATAATTATATTTTATTTTACATTATATCATAAAAGTCTTTTAATTATTCTGACACGACCGCTGTTTGGCAATTGCTAGATAGTTTGGTGCAGAATGATTAAGTGATCAGAATGATTAAGAGACTCATGATATAGTGCATATAATGGAATTAGGGCTCCTAATGGTTAAAGAAGATCCAAGATACAAAATAATTTAGAGGGTTTTAAAACCATTAAGAAGCAAAAAATTTTGCCAAACAAGATTCATTTTTTAATAATTCAGAGATTATTTCTTAATAAAACTATTAAAATGTAAAAAACAAGATAAATGGATATAAAGACACGTGAGGGGCACACGGGGTGAAGGAGACAAAGTTGGTGTGTGGAGTTTCAAAGACGTCGCAGAAAAAGTCAAAGAAGGGCGCTGTAGCAACCATGACCAAATCACCCACTATTTTCCCATGTAAAACCAAATTATTACTTCATTTATTCTTTTTAAAATATATTTTTTTTTAATTTTTATTCTTATTTTAATACGATAAATCTAAAATCTTGCAATCAAAAAGACCCGGTCGGAGACGTGTTGGACTCTTTCTCTATTTTGACTTTTTATCGTTTCCAACACAATTTCCCCTTCTTTGCCCTTCCAATTTGAATCAAATTTTAGCTTCTTTAAAATAATATCAAGTAATATTCAATCAGTTATTTTATAATTTATTTAAAATAATAAAAAATTAATATTTAATTCCAACAAATTTTTTTATTTTAAAGATTTTAACAAGTATTATATTATTAAAATATTCTATAAATTTTTTGACACGTACAATTTTTAATAGTGAACAAAAAATTACATGATTCAATTTAAACCGACCGAACATGTAATCGAATATCTAATTGTAACATTCAAGTTGCATCAGTTGGTTTTTTTTATGACAGTCCAAAATCCAATGAAACCGAACCGATCGAATTCAATTACTCATCTGACTATCGCATTATCATCATATGATTATTAACATTTTACGATATTGTTTTTTTTTTTTTATTAATCTGGATATCCAACCCGTTATGCGAGCGGACTAATCTTAGGGCAACCACATGCTTTGCAGATAGCTTGGAGTCCCTACATTTGAATTTCCGTGGCTACAAGAGGATTTTTCTTCCTTCTTGGATTTGAACCTGAGACATCATGGTATTTTTGACATTTGGAGCCAAGCTCAAACCAATCAGACACCACCCTTGTGGTTTTTAGTTGATATGGATATATATACATAATGGTTTTTTATAAATTGTGAAAATGTACGAATAACTGGTTGAAAAATAGTTGATTAATTAATAATTAATTGAAAATTGTATCAAAATATTTGATGGATCTAATTTGATCCAATAGATAAACAATAGTAACATCCATTGAATTGGATTGGACCGAATGTCTAATGTTAATTTGATTGGATCTGATGACAAAATTCAACATCCAGTAGATGATTGG